GCCTGCTCCAGCAAATCGATGAACAACGGGAGGACTGTCCTACAGATGTTAAATAATCAAAACAATAAAATCTGTACATGATCTCTATTGCCTCAAAGTAGTTTTGAGTTTCATATCAGCAGAATATAAATTCCAGCATCTAGAAGGTAATGTATGTCATTTCATATATTTCATGCATTATTAAACATATTGCTTCATATCAATTTTTTCTTTTCCTTTGAATCTCCATTGCCATACTTTAAGATGGACTTTAGTTGTATAATCAGTTTATTGTTGACTATGTATCTGTTTATGTGTGTTTTTCAATCCAGTCACATCTTAGTTATCTTTATTTATTTATTTATTTTTCCTTTTTGGGTCACACCCAGCAATGCACAGGGGTCACTCCTGCCTCTGCACTCAGGAATTACTCCAGGCAGTGCTCAAGAGACCATATGGGATGCTGGAAATCGAACCCGATATGGCCGCATGCAAGGCAAACGCCCTACCCTCTGTGCTATCACTCCAGCCCCAATATCTTAGTTGTCTTTAATGCAGAGCTGAAGAATGATTGGCTGCCAGGCTATTTAAGCTCATGAAATCATGTGGTCTGACCATTTGACAAGATGAAGCCATCATGTATTTTTTTCATGGGTTTTCATCGTTTGTTCATCTGTATTATATGACCCAGGAATATAAACAAATTAAATAATTATATATTACATATTATCTTCTTTTTCTGTTGGTCATCTTTATGTGTATGTAAGTTTCTAATTACCATATATTTCTATGCCTTGAGACTTAATTTAATATATTATGTGGATAGGTCAACAAGCAGCAAAATTCTTCGTTTTTCATTGCCTAAAAAAGAAACTCTTCTTCATTTCCTTAAAATTACCTACTATAATTTTAAATTTGCATGGCAATTTTGACAATGATAAAAAGCATTTATAAAAACTCCAGAATTATCTCTATTGACAAATTAATATTTTACTTCTTTTTTTATAATCAATGTTTCAATTGTGATGTTCCGCCCACACAGCAAAACCTGGCAAACTGAGAACATCTGTCCCAGGATACCATTTAGAACTCCACTGTGTTTATTTTTCACATATTTTTGTGGTCCCGTTGTCAATGATTAATTCTTAGTTTGTTTTGGTTTTGTTTACATAGACTATTTTGAAAAATATTGATAAAATTCATGGAGAATTATTTAAATTACATATCTGAATTGAAATTGGAAATTTATACATTATACAAATGTATATGCATATTTATGTTATATTTTAAAATAATTTTATTATTCTTTTACATTAATTTTAATAAAAATTTCTCATTGTATTTAGATACCTCCTTGTAGACTCTTATACTAGGAATACTTAAAAATTTTAGTCTGCTGGAATTATCTCTATTTTTTTAGTCAAATTATTTTTAATCTGTTCATCTTTTCTATGTTCTTAACTCCTTTTCTTTTTAATCTTTAGGCCACACCTGGCAGTGTTCAGTTCTTACTCCTAAGTATGTGCTCAAGGATCATTCCTTCCAGGGCTCAGAGGACATATGTAGTTCGGGGATCAAATTTGGTTTGACTGTGATCAAATCAAGGGTCCAAAATGCTGTATTATCATCACTCCAGTCCTGTGTGTGTGTGTGTGTGTGTGTGTGTGCACGTGTCTGTGTGTATTAGTTCAGAAAACTCCATTTATGCTTAAGACTAATACCAAAACTACAGCATAGAAATTATTTAAATAAAATATCTGTGCAAAGTAATTTGTTCCTTTCTTTGTGGGATCTCAGGAATGATTACTTTAGCACTGTAGCACTGTCTCCCTTTGTTCATCAATTTGCTCAAGCAGGCACCAGTAATGTCTCATGACAAATTGGGAGACTTGTTGTTACTGCTTTTGGCATATTGAATACATCACAGGGAGCTTGCCAGGCTTTGCCGTGCAGGCAAGATACTCTCAGTAGCTTGTGGGCTCTCTGAGAGAGGTGGAGGAATCAAACCCGGGTTGGCTGCATGCAAGGCAAATGCCCTACCTGCTGTGCTATTGCTCTAGCCCATATATTAGTATGATTACTTTATTAGGCAGAAAATAGAAGTGTTTACTATAAGTGAATTTAATATCCTTAATAAAAGCTTTGGTTCATAGCTGTCTAACATTTTAACTATGACAGAAAGACAGTTGAAATTTTAACCATGTGGTTTAATTTTTTCTGCTCTGAAACTCATGGCTTAACTCTGATATTTCCTATAACTTGAAATTCCAAAGCCTCATCAGACTGATTTTGGAAAGGACAACTAAATTCTGTTCAGAAGAAAATAGTATAAATACTGTCAGCTATAGCTTTTACCAACATACTTAGTTACAATTCCTCTACATCTAAAATTACTGAAATTTTATTTGATAATCCCTTCTAGTTATTTTTGTATCATAAATCCATGTATCATTTATTTATGCAAAATAATTTAATGATGAGGCCTGAGAGATATACAGTGGTTAGTGCACCACTTTTTTATGAGTAAACCCAGTACCTCATAGGGTACCCAGAGACCTCCAGGAGTGATCCCTGAGTTTAGAACCCAGAGAAAGACCTGAGCACTGATGCATGTGATGTCCCTACCATCACCCCTCAAAAAAATTATTTTTAATGACATCCTAAGGGATAGGAGCAAAGATAATTGTGTCTGTAGTGTCTTTTGGTTAATTAACTGGACTTCCCACCTAAATGTTTCGATTAAAACACAGAATAAACAAATTATATTAGACTCTTCTAAATATCATCATTGATATGTATCATTTTTGTATTAGTGTATCAAAATCAATCAAATAAGATGATGCTGCCAAGAATGTTTTTTGTAACCTTCTGTGGTGACTCTTAAAAGCAGTGTATTGATTGTTACTTGTTTATATATGTGATTGCTGTTACCACATACATAGATGTTTTTTAAAGATTAAGTGGAAATTTATTTTTTTAAATTGAAATATTTTAAAAAGAAAAAAGAGGAGGGCTGGAGGTAAGAGTGAAAAATATAAACCTCATGCTTTGCAGGCAGCCAACTGCATATAGATTCCATCCCTACAAATGGCCATTTAAACGCCAGCAGTAGTCACTCGAGCTTAGAGATAGGTGTAGTTCCTGACACTTCCCTAGAAACCAAAAGAGGATAGCAGTGTAGCACTGTCCTCCCATTGTTCATCAGTTTGCTCAAGCAGGCACCAGTAATGTCTCCATTGTGAGACTTGTTGTTACTGTTTTTGGCATATCAAATATGCCATGGGGAGCTTGCCAGGTTCTGGCGTGCAGGCGGGATACTCTTGGTGGCTTGCTGGCCTCTCTGAGAGGGATGAAGTAATCGAACCCAGATCAGCCACATGCAAGGCAAATGCCCTAGCTGCTGTGCTATTTCTCCAGCCCAAAAAGAGGATAAGGAAAAAAATTCTGTTGAATCTATCATTTCATATACTTAAAGACATTTTATTATAAATATATAAGAAAGATTTAAACTCCTAATAATGATCAAGAAAGATAGTCTGATATCTTCCAACTAATCTTTATCCTTTTGTTTGTAGTGTGGTATTAAGAAATAATAGGTTAATTTAATATTTAAAATAACATCACATACACAGAGACTTTTATTAAATAATTTATCATTCTGCACACTTAATTGACTAATAGTGAATTTAATTCTCCCTATCAAATTATTTTCTTTAACATATTTGGGGTAGAAAAAAGCACATCCAGTGATACCCAGACCTTACTCCTGACTCTGCTCTGAGATCAGTCCTGGTGCAACTCAGGGATGACACGGGGTATGGGAGATTAAACTCAGATGTTGGGGTGTAAGCAAGTGCCTTAAGCACTGTACTATCACTCTGGCTCTTTTCATTCATGTTTTTAAACAGCCCCAACAATTCTGTAGATAAATATTTAATCACAAGTGCCTTATTTCAATCGCTATAAAACAATTCATGTTTTATTTGTCAACTATAATAGCAAGATATAAGCAGCCCCAAGGGCATATTTTAAAACATGTTTTTATGCCAAAAACTGTTTTTTGAAAGTGGAAAAATATTTTTTGTTGTTGTTCCTGGTTAGAATAGTTAATGAGAAAGCCACTAAGCATCTTGGCATATATCTTCATGTGAACAAAGATTATAATTTCACGCTAGGAAATAATTTGTGATGAGTTGGTTATGCTGTACATAAGAGTAATATGAACTGATATTTTTTAAGTAGCTCAGAAGACAAGAGGTTTTGAGGCTAAAGATATAGTACAGCAGATAAGGTGCTTGTCTTTCATAGGTTTGACATGGGCTCAATCCCTAGCTTCCTATATGGTCACTGAGCTCTGCCAGGAGTGGTATAGACACTGCAGAGCCAAAAATAAATCCTAAATACTGCTGAGTGTGGTCCAACCCTACCTCCACATCAGAAAAAGAAAACAAGAAATCTTTACAAAGTTTTCTTCGACTCATCATTTTTTTATTTCTGTTTGAAAAAAAGTAGTGAAAAACTCTTTTAACTTTATACTCAACAAGCATACAGTGAAGATAAGCAATACATATATATGAGGTGAAAAGAAATGCCTGCTTGTGGATAATACACATTCTCAAGATAAGAGTAACTGAACACAGTGATATATTGAGCTAATCCTTATCTAGAACACAAAAGTTGCTTTTCAATTTATATGTTTTTCTTTTCTACAATCAAATATCACAAAAATATTGCTGTGCCTGGGCATTTTTAAAATACTACTTTTGACCCTGTATTGGAAAACTAGTGATAGAGATGTCTGTTTTTGTGAATGAGACCTATACTCATAAATCGCCTCAATATCTTGAGATTACTGATTCTATGTAACAGCATATTTTGTTTCTATTTTCATAAACACCAGTGTATTTAAAACAATATCTATTCTTAAATATCCAAGCCCTTCAAGAGTAGTTATAAGGTGTATATAACTGCTCGGTACTGATGAGTTTTTTGCCCTTTTCTATTATTCTTTTCTTTTTTCAATTTTTTGGTCAGAAGGGAAACAAGGAGAGAAATACCTCTACCAAATTATTTTCCCAGGACCTTGTCTTAATGTCCCAAAGTTTAGTTAGCAGACAAGGAAGCAACCATGAATTAGGCTGAATACTTTGACTTATCATATTTATTTAAATAGAAATTTATTATCCTTAAATATAAATATAAATATCCACGTTAAATCAATCAACTCTACTGTAACAGCAGAAATGGGTGAGTTTCAAATAATTAATCCTTAATTAGTCCATATATTTCCCTGCTATCTCAATGAAGCTTAATTCTCAACATATATTGCATAGGACAAAAAAGTAAATGAAATGTTAATCTACAATTAAAACTATCATATAAGAAAGGGATTCCTTAATTTTGTTGAAGTAAATCTTGGTATTTAAAACTTTAGGTAAATTGGAGTAAAATGAAATTCAGAACTATTTTACTCTTTTGAGATTCTGTGGAAGATTTTAAGTAATTTACTTCAAATTATTTATCATTGATTTATTTTTCCCAGTGAAATGAATCTAAATTATTTATTATATACATATAAACACCATATTATGTTTTTGTAATATTTTACCCTTATAGGAATTTATGTTTAGTTGCCCATAAGTCTTTTTCTCTGGTTATTTTTCCTTACTGTGTAAATTTTTATTATGATATTTTAAATAATTTGTGTAACATTAGAAAATTTGGCACATATACTATTATACTATAATCAGATTATACTACCCACCTTTATATTACAAATTTCTATTGGATACTAGATATTAAAAGAATATATATACTATATCTAAATGTAGAAGACAGAAATTTATGCCATTATTCAATCACAAATCTGATACTTTTGGCAGAGATTCTTTGAGACCCTGCACAAGCTGAGTCATTCTGAGTACCTCAGAGTGGAAGCAGGTCAGCCAAATACTCACCTAAAAAGAGCCATTGTAGCCAAAAGTTTACAAATTCCACAATCACCACTGTTGGAGTATGAGGAGCTTAGGTTTATCAGATTGCACCCATCACAGTGCTCCCAAGTCACTCCCATTCCTTTGTTTGTCTGTAACCACTTCTATGCTCTCTTCCCCAACCAATTTGTAAGGTCTCATCCTTCTTAGACACTGAAGCTGTACTGTAAGTTAATATTGCCTTTCTCCTCTCCTTATGTCTTTTGAGCAGTTTCCTTTAATACAATGGCCTTTTTGTATAGATACAGGAAGACAATTAATATTATGCTTTATAATTTAGGACTTAATTGGCTTTGAATATTATTCACTCCTGGGCATCTGCTTTCTCAATGTAAGCCTCAGTTGCCCTCACTTCCTAGCACCCTAAAAGCAGGGTCCCGACTTGGGACTGGATAGAACCAGGGCAAGCCAGTAAGTTATGTGGTACTCTGGCATCACGATGGGCCAGGTCAAGGTGCCACTGTTGGGATCGGGAGTCCCCTGGCCCTGGGAGGCGCGGAGAGACCAGACAGACACAATTCCTGCAGGAGTACAAACGGGGTTTATTTAGACCAGCATGCTGGGGCTCCACAGCATACCCCAGAGTGGGCAGTGGCTGAGAGCCCCGAGCTTCTTCAAAGGAGGTCTTATATAGGCCTTCACTGGCCGTTACACCAAGGCCCGCACATTTCATAGCCAATAGATTTGTAACATATACTTTCTTAACCAATCTATTTAAAAGTACCTCACTCCTTAGCCTATAGATTCAAAGATCAGCATTTATGTACATCGATTGTCAGCACAAGCAAGGTTATAGCCGGAATCATTAAGCCTTAGGGCTGGAGCTATAGCACAGCGGGTAGGGCGTTCGCCTTACAAGCGGCCAACATGGCCGGCCCGAGTTTGATTCCTCCGCCCCTCTCGGAGAGCCTGGCAAGCTACCGAGAGTATTCAATATGCCAAACACAGTAACAACAAAGTCTCCAATGGAGACGTTACTGGGCCCGCTTGAGCAAATCGATGATCAACGGGAGGGCCTTTACCTTTACCTTTTACCTTACTAAGCCTTAGGTAATCTCCCTCCACCATCCACATTTTGAGTTATCCATTACCCAGGACATCTGCAGGGGTCTTTGCTAAGACAATACATTCCCAGAATGGGCAATCTACCCGCATCCTGAGTTATCCTTTACTCAAGTCTGCAGGGTGCTTTACTGAGACAATACATTTCAGGAACAGTAAATACACCTGAATCTTGTCACACTTGGTTTACAAAGAAGTTATGCCCTGTTCACATTCCAAGTCCCGCCCCCCCCCCCCAGGTGCAAAGCAGTCAAGCAGTTTTACAGAAAGCAATGTTGCAAGTTAGCTGAAGCATGCAAAAATTTGATGCCCTAATATGGATTCTTTCACCACGATTCTTAATTTAAGAGTTTGATCATAGGCAAATGCTGTCATGATCCAAAAGTAATGACGAGACTAGGACCCTGCTGCTAGGAATAGGAAAGATATCTGGCCTGAACACTGCAGTCTGAGATCGAGATGGCCCTAGGAGAGCAATTCTATAAGCGCAAGGTATTTCTTACTGTGTCCATACAAAATGATTTATATTATGTATGCTTATATGTTGGTCGGACAAGGAGAGGAGAAAAACATGCAGGGAATTCTGTTCTAGTGTGGGTTGATCTGCTAAATGAGAATCTATCCTAGAAGCAGTTTTCCTGTGTTTCCTAACTAGCTTGGATGAGACTGAACTTTCTCCTCTTCAAACTGCCTTCAGTAAATGATTTCAGTATATTGAGGCAGTTTCCCTTATCTCACAGGAACCTTGCTGGTCTTAGATATGCAGATCTCAGGTGCTAGCCAGGCCTGATCTTTTGGATATAGATTCCCAGCTCTAGCCAGGCTGGTCTTTGGGATGCAAATCCAAGAGCTTATAGCTTGTAAAAGGTGAGGCCAGGATTACTGGCCTGTGGATGTAAAGAAACAATGTATGTTCAACCTCAGTGTTCTTTCTGTAACTCCTTTAGATGACATCACTATATTATGCCCTTTAGAGGTACTATGATCTATATAAGGGAGATTTCAGGGCTCTCTGGGGGACACTGCATCAGAGAACCTGGGAAGATGGGGCTGAGGACAGAAGCTGAGAGAACAAAAGTGCACGTGCTTGAGAGATACTGGGGCCTCCATGACATACATCTCTTCCACGTAATAAACTCCTGCTAAGACCAACCAGCCTGGCCCCCGTTTCCTTCCTCCGCCTGGCCATCGCCATCGAAATCCCTGAAGTGGGAAAATGACCTGAGACTACGGGACGTGGGCGGCAGGAGAGATAGGCCGCTGTCGCCCCCTTGCCCGTCCTTTTTTGTGTGTTTACACACACCACCAAGCCCTTCACCCTATTCCAATACTTGGGATAAGCCTTACCCAGGTTTAATTGGCTGAAAAACTCAGGTATGCTGGTTTTGTGACTGAAATCTCCAGACTTTCTTAGAGTTGGGGATGTGCTACCGCCCCTAGCACATCTCCTTATAATTTCTGAAGCCCCTGACAGTCACACACATACCCCAGTACCACTACTCAGTTAAAAATTTATCTGCTGTTATATCACCCCATTAAAAATTTTTGACTTCCTGGAGCCCTCGTTTGCATTCTGGACCCATGACATGTCAAACTCTACAACACTGATAGCACATCAGATTAGAATGGCACACCAGGTTAGATGGGATGTAATGTAGAAAGCAACCAATTTTGATTGACAAAATAGAAACACAGAAGGCTTAACCTGTAATAACATTTTACTAATCTCTTATATAAATACTTGATAACTCCGTGATGAGATACAATCTTCACTGTGAAGCCACCACCATGTACTCAGGGCTTATTTCTTGGGACATTTCTGGCAGGACTGAGGGACCATTATGGCACCACAGATCGAATCCGGGTCAGCCACATCACATGTTAGGGAAACACTATAATTTTGCTCTGGTTCCAAGAATTTGCATATATTACCTCATATTTTTCCCTAATGTATTCGTTAGGAAAGAACTGGCAGAGGAACCCAGGCATGCAGGTCCCGGGGCTGAGGTCTCCAAGCCTACTCAGATTGGGACTGGGCCTTCTCCAACCAGACACCCCATCTCCAGTAGGTAGGTGTCATACCCACTAGCTGAGCTAGAAAGAAAGGGCCAAAGATACTCGGCATCACTCATCATTAGGGAAATGCAAAACAAAACAAAAATGAGATAATGAGATATGATCTCATACCAGTTAGTGTGGCGTGTATTGCAAAGAATAAAAACAATTAGTGTTTGGCTAGAGAGATAACATAGCAGGTAAGGTTCCAGTCTTGGAATCACCTGACCTGGGTTCAATATTCACCACCTAATATGGTTCCCCAATCCCTGTAACCAGTGGTCTCTGAGTGTACAGTAAGAAGCTAGCACCCTGAGCACCCTCAATTATGGCCCAAAAACCAAAAATAAGAAAAAGAAAACCAACTGGTGTTGGCATGTATGCGGGGAAAATAGAACTCTGATTTACTAATGTTGGGGATGTCAATTGGTCCCAATGTTTCAGGAAAACTGTATGGACATTTCTATTTTTTAAAAAAAAAGTCCACCTAGGACTCTACCTCTTATATGATCAAGCAATTTCACTTCTTGGCATTTACCCCACGAACCCAAAAAGTCTATTAAAAATGATATTTGCACTTCTATGACCATTTCACCACTATTCACATGAGCTCAAATCTGGAAACATCCCAAATGGCAGGGACAGATGTTTGAATAAAGAAAATATAACACATACATATCAATGGAATGCTAGTCAACTATAAGAAAACAATAAAATCATGCAATTTAGTGATGCATGGATGGATTTGGGGAGTATTATGCTCTGTGATGTTACTAATAAAGAGTCAGAGGCCTGCGGCTTCAGTGAGTAGGGCACTTTGCCTTGCAAAGGTCTGCCTAGGATTCAGACTCTGATACCCCATATGGTTCCTCAAACCCCATAGAAGTGATTCTTGTGAGCCCTGTTTTTGGTAAGACCCCAAAACAAAGACAGGAAAATAAAAGAGAGAAACACACACAGAATGACTTCTCTTACATGTGGGATACAAATACACATAAAGGAATAGCAAATTCCCTATGGTGAAGGTATCTGATAATTGTT